TTCTACAGTCCCTCGTCCTGTAGAAGAGTTTAGTGCCCATGATTTTGATGATGATGTTCCAATGGAAACCTCAACACAACACGTAGGTGTAAGTGAAGAATCTTCGGGGCGTTCAATTACTTTCACCTACTTTACGTTAAATTATTATGTTATTTTAAATCTCTTTATGTTTTTTTTGGATATTAAATGATTTATGTTTAATTTACATTTTGTATGACATTTTTTATTTGTGTGTAATTTACATTTTGTATGACAATATGTATGTTTTTATAATTATTCAGCAACTTAATCCATTTATATATATAACAGAAGGGTAAAATTGTCATTTTCATCACTCAGCACATTCAGTCAGATGTACAATCAAACAACAAGATTTCTTACTCAGTCAGGATTTCTTACCCAGACAGACATTTCCCAGTCAGCACTTTTTCAGCCAGCAACTATCAAACGGGGCCTTAGCTTTTCTGGGAAATACTAAAAAAAGAAATAGATAAAAAATGTAATTAAGTGAAAATTCATAAAGATTTTATGAAATTCTTTTCAAGATAATAGGTCATAAACAGTGTCTCAGCTTTTGAATGAGTGATAGATAGTAAGGCTTAACCTTTTCAACATCAACACAGACTTTACTTTTACTTAAAGATCATGCTTACTACAAATAAAAATTAAACATAATCATTAATTAAATATTATTATTATTATTATTATTATTATTATATTTGCATTACATGTACACAAAATTTGCATACTTACTTGAAGATTTGAAGCCATTTCAAGTTCTCAACATCCTCTTCATTCATCAAATGCTTATAAACTCCAGACCGATGCATTGCTGCCACAATCTAAAACAAATAAATTCATAATTTGTTTTTTTTGGAAACAATTGCTCGATCTGCGGTTCATCCAAATCAGGATAGCTATCGTCTACAACTTCATTAAATAATTCACAACATTCCCATATACTCATTTCAAGTTTATCCAATTTCTTATAGTCTTCTCTCGCAGGATATCCATAAATCGATGCAAAACAATATATATATATATATATATATATATATATATATACCTTAGTGACAAAACATTCATGCTCTTCAGCCTGTTGAGCGATCTTTAACCGCTTGTTTTGACAAGATCTCCTCATTTTTCTCTTTTGTTTGACCAACTTTCTAAATAAACCAAGAAATTATCAATTCAAAACTTCAAAAAACTGTGCAAAACAATCAACAAAAACAAACAACATCGACCTTGAAATCATACCCTGCATCGATCTTTTAACCTCTGATTCACCCCTTGAAACCAATGGCCAGTCAACCAAGAAATTGTACACATCTGGCTTAGGATGTACAGAGTTACATTTAACTGTGTACAAAAAAGCTCTGCAAAAGATTGGAAGTGATAAATTAATATAATCAGAAGAATATTTTAGGAAGATAGTTTCTAATTACACAAATACTGGAGCTGTTGTTTGCCAGTTGCATTCGAAAGACACAGTCCATTTCCCCAAGTTTGGAAATATCTGATCCTTTTTCTCATTTCACTTAGACTTCTGTCATGACTATTTCTCATGTAACTTAAGAAATTTGCTACATTTGAGCTAATTGTTCATTGGGTATTGATTGTGCAGATGTGCAAAGGTCCAAACCTGGGGAGAACAATATGGGAACTCCAACCTCTGTGTGTGACATTCTACTTTCTGTAAAAAAAAGCTTTTTTCTTTCTTTTTATCCTTTTTGATTCTTCCCTTTGGAGAATAGTCTATAAACTCATCTATTATGTTTTTGGCACAGAAGGTCCTCACCAGTCCTTTTCCACCATTTGCCAACCGCTTGGATTTCATGAAACCACCTGGAGCCGATGATTCCCAGAAGAACAAAGATTAGACAGAAAACTCAAATGGCGGAAGTGGAATTTCAAGAAATTTCATGATAATCTTTATGAGTTCTTTTTAACATGTTCAAATAACTTTCCCTTTTAACGTTTGCTGATTTATGTAGAAGTAGAAAATATAATTCCAAATTTTAAGAGTTTTACTCATTTGGATTTCAGTTGAAAAGAAACCTTCAGAAATTAGTTGATTTCACCGAACCATTACAAAGATTTAAGACAATTGGGCCAACAAAAACATTTTACGTATTAGAATTAGGGTTAACCTGATACCCCACCTGAGAATCGAGATGAATGCACACGGGTTAGGGCATTGCATGTTCATTTTCAATAGATATTGAAAAAAAAAATTAACAAAAAACTTTGAACAAACCTTCTGCTTGAAGTGAGTCTTGAGAACATGTTCAAGAAATCATAATAACCACCGATTGAGCAGTTGTTGTTGATGGCGGTGCACCGGAAGCGATGGTCTTCAACGGCGATGGGTACAAAGCCCATAATAGGCCTTCAAAATACCGAGAGCAAGAGAGATGGGGTAAGACGGAAAACGGGATTAACGTCGTGGCAAAATTACACCGATGAAAGCGATTTGGGTGTCGTTTTTTGGAGAGGTAGAACCAAAGTCGGTGGAAGAAAATAAGAACAAAGCTGTGAGAAGAAGAGTAGGGAGACTGAAGCGGTGGAGGAAACATGGAGATTGATAAAGGCAAAAATTAAATTAAAAAACGAATGTTGTAGACAGGAACCAAAAAAAACCAATCAGAATAGGTTACTTTTCTTAAAGGAACATACTTTTTATCCTATTATTATATAATTATATAATGTATAATAATTATATAACGCTATCAAAATATATATATATATATGGTTAGGTTCATGAGACAACTATATTTCTATATTTTGTGAGGCGCACTGAAGATAAAAAAAATATTTTTAAAATGTAAAATAATTGAAAATTTTTAAATTTTTTTTAAAATATTATTTTCGTCACTTTTTTATCAAAAAATAAAAAATAAAAAAAATTACTGTTGTTTTAAAATATCTGTGAAATATTTTAGTAGAATATTAGAATATTCTAGTATAATATTAGAATATTTTACATATCTAACAAATCTATTAGAATACTAGATTATTCTAGCATTCTAAAAATCACATTGGAATATTTGCATAGTAATATATTCTATTAGAATATTTCACGTATTTTTCAAAAAAAAAAACGGTAATTTTTTTTTATTTTTATTTATTTTTATTTT